GGCGACGAGTGGCGGTGGATGGGTGCAAACGAAGGGCGTGTTTGATTTAAGCGTTTTTACACGCGGAATTGTTTGATTTATGTGGGAGAAAATGCGAAAAATACGCTTTGGTTATATTTGGTTATATTTTAACACATTATTGGTTTCAGGTTTTGTTTAAAAATTATATGAAATGCCTTAGAATTTACATTATTACGAAATACTAAGAAAACAATTTATTTTATAAATTAATGATGAATTAATGAAAATGTTGTTCTTATGAATGCAATTTGCAAAAATGCGCAATTCAACCTAAATGTTTGCAAAATTATTATTATTCTTTGATTTTATTTTGTTATATAAATGTTTTCATAAAATAAGTGTAAAACTGCTTCAAAATATAAGCCAAAAGTATGGCTGTGTGTGGTACCTGCACGCATGCGTATGTGTAAGTGTGTTTTATTGCGCGCAGGTGTGTTTACGTCTCCTGCGCGTACTCGTTGTTCGCAATGTTCGCAATTGTCAGTTGATGCTGAACCTGAGCTGCAGTGCTATAGTTTCATCCATATTGTAAAATTTACCAAAGTGACGTCCAATTGGTTGAGTTTATTCGTTAATTCAAATACGGTATGATCCTGACAATGGTTTTAACTTCAGGGAGTAACATTTCTTTGATTTCTGTGAGTTGTTTACTTATCTATTTGTTTAGTTTGGGGGTTATAATGTACTGACTTAAGTGACTGTGTCATTGCGCGGCATGCTGCTTGGTTTATCTTATAGGTGAATGTCGGGTTCTCGTCATCTTTTCATTATTATGGAAGTTACACATCTTATCTGGGGTATGATACATAAGCAAAACAGAACTTTGGATATTCTTTGAATAATCTTAGTTTTAATTTGATTTTATTACTATTCTAGATGTACTGTATGAGATATAACAAAAGAAGTGCTGTTAGATACGTTGGAGTAGTCTGGACGTGCCAAGATGGTAGTCTAATACGTCATTTTGTAATTTTCCGAAAAGACGTAGTGCAAATGGCTTATACGCTAGTAAAGTATCTACCTTAGCGCCGCCTCGTGGCTTATTTCTTAAATAGTGAG